CCAGAAATTGAAATTTCGATAATAGAAAATACTTAATACGCAGAATATTATTGTTGACACGGTCAACAATGCGGTGAGCAGCATTCCGAACTTCCGAACAGCAAATGCAATGCGACAAATTGAAAACGAAAGACTGTGAGTTATTATCGGATTAAATAGTCAATTTGGCTGGAAATATTTTCGATGTGTCATATGAGGGTCGTTTAAACAGTTGGCAATTGAGTGATAATACACTAATGGGTCATGGGGGTCAGAATCGTGGATTTAAACTATATACAAATAAATTTCCAAATATCATCAACAAGCATGGATTTAAAAAAAATCTTCAAGGAGTATCAACAGGGGATGATTTGTATACCCTTCACCACACTGTGGTACAGGGTATTATGTCTTAGTGCATATGTTTGTAACAGGCAAAAGGAAACGAGATAGACCCATAGTTTATTTTGAGAATATGCATAGAATCACTTTCTGAGTCGATTTATGCATGTCCGTCCGTCCGTCTGTTGGTGTTAAATTGTAAACAAAGTACTGGTCGCATTTATAATCCGATTTCGATGAAATTTGGCAAAGATCATTTGTTTGGCCCAAGGACGAACCCTATTGAAATTGGGCAAAATCGGTTCAGATTTAGATATAGCTCCCATATATATTTTCGTCCGATTTAAGGTAAATGGTGCACCAAAGTCCGTATATATCATTCGATTTGCACGAAATTTGATATAGCGTAATGAATTAGGTCTAGAATGATGTGTGTTAAGTTTCGCGAAAATCGGTTCAGATTTATATATAGCTTCCATATATATTTTCCTCCGATTTAAGGTAAATGATGCACCAAAGTTCCTATATATCATTCGATTTGCTCGAAATTTGGCACAGCGTAATTAATTAGGTCTGGAATGATGAGTGTTAAGTTTCCTGAAAATCGTTTAAGATTTAGATATAGCTCCCATGTATATTTTCGTCCGATTTAATGTAAATGGTGCACCAAAGTTCCTATATATCATTCGATTTGCACGAAATTTGGCACAGCGTAATTAATTAGGTCTGGAATGATGAGTGTTAAGTTTCCTGAAAATCGGTTCAGATTTAGATATAGCTCCCATATATATTTTCGTCCGATTTAAGGTAAATGGTGCACCAAAGTCCCTATATATGTTTCGATTTACACGAAATTTGGCGTAGTGTAGTGAATTGAGCCTGTAGTGATGTGTGCCAAGTTTCCTGAAAATCGGTTCAGATTTAGATATAGCTCTCATATATAGTTTCGTCCGATTTTAGGTAAATGGTACACCAAAGTCCCTACATATCTTCCAATTTGCACGAAATTCGGCATATCGCACTGAATTGAGTTTAGAATGGTGTGTGTTAAGTTTCCTGAAAATAGGTTCAGATTTATATATATCACCCATATATATTTTCGTCCGATTTAAGGTAAATGGGGCACCAAAGTCTCTTCATATCTTTCGATTTGCACGAAATTCGGCATAGGGTACTGAATAAAGTCTAGAATGATGTATGTTAAATTTCGTGAAAATCGGTTCAGATTTAGATATAATCTGCATATAATTTGCCACGGCACCACAACTGGTGCCGTGGCAAATTGTTCCTCATCATAGATCGTTTTCAGGTGATAGGCAAAATTAGTTCTGAACGTTATAAAATCCACAAAATTTCCACTAAATATTCGACCCGGTACACTCGGTACATTTTTATAGCGTGCCCAGAAATTGAAATTTCGATAATAGAAAATACTTAATACGCAGAGTATTATTGTTGACACGGTGAGCAGCATTCCGAACTTCCGAACAGCAAATGCAATGCGACAAATTGAAAACGAATGACTGTGAGTTATTATCGGATTAAATAGTCAATTTGGCTGGAAATATTTTCGATGTATCATATGAGGGTCGTTTAAACAGGGTGGTAATTAAGTGATAATACACTAATGGGTCATGGGGGTCAGAACGTGGATTTAAACTATATAAAAAATAAATTTCCAAATATTATCAACAAGCATGGACTTAAAAAAATCTTCAAGGAGTATCAACAGGGGATGATTTTTATACCCTTCACCACACTGTGGTACAGGGTATTATGTCTTAGTGCATATGTTTGTAACAGGCAAAAGGAAACGAGATAGACCCATAGTTTCTTTTGAGAATATGCATAGAATCACTTTCTGAGTCGATTTATGTATGTCCGTCCGTCTGTTGGTGTTAAATTGTAAACAAAGTACAGGTCGCATTTATAATCCGATTTCGATGAAATTTGGCAAAGATCATTTGTTTGGCCCAAGGACGAACCCTATTGAAATTGGGCAAAATCGGATCAGATTTAGATATAGCTCCCATATATATTTTCGTCCGATTTAAGGTAAATGGTGCACCAAAGTCCATATATATCATTCGATTTGTACGAAATTTGGCACAGCGTAATGAATTAGGTCTAGAATGATGTGTTTTAATTTTCCCGAAAATCGGTTCAGATTTATATATAGCTCCCATATATATTTTCGTCCGATTTAAGGTAAATGGTGCACCAAAGTCCATATATATCATTCGATTTGTACGAAATTTGGCACAGCGTAATGAATTAGGTCTAGAATGATGTGTTTTAAGTTTCCCGAAAATCGGTTCAGATTTATATATAGCTCCCATATATATTTTCCTCCGATTTAAGGTAAATGGTGCACCAAAGTTCCTATATATCATTCGATTTGCACGAAATTTGGCACAGCGTAATTAATTAGGTCTGGAATGATGAGTGTTAAGTTTCCTGAAAATCGGTTCAGATTTAGATATAGCTCCCATATATATTTTCGTCCGATTTAAGGTAAATGGTGCACCAAAGTCCCTATATATGTTTCGATTTGCACGAAATTTGGCGTAGTGTAGTGAATTGAGCCTGTAGTGATGTGTGCCAAGTTTCCTGAAAATCGGTTCAGATTTAGATATAGCTCTCATATATAGTTTCGTCCGATTTTAGGTAAATGGTACACCAAAGTCCCTACATATCTTCCAATTTGCACGAAATTCGGCATATCGCACTGAATTGAGTTTAGAATGGTGTGTGTTAAGTTTCCTGAAAATAGGTTCAGATTTATATATATCACCCATATATATTTTCGTCCGATTTAAGGTAAATGGGGCACCAAAGTCTCTTCATATCTTTCGATTTGCACGAAATTCGGCATAGGGTACTGAATAAAGTCTAGAATGATGTATGTTAAATTTCGTGAAAATCGGTTCAGATTTAGATATAGCTCCCATATATATTTTCGTCCGATTTAATGTAAATGGTGCACCAAAGTCCCTTCATATCTTTCGATTTGCACGAATTGCCAATTTTCCTGAAAATCGGTTCAGATTTAGATATAGATCTCATATATAGTTTAGTCCGATTTTAGGTAAATGGTGCACCAAAGTCCCTTCATATCTTTCGATTTGCACGAAATTTGGCATAGAGTTCTGAATTAGTTCCAGAATGATATGTGCTAAGTTTTGAGAAAATCTGTTCAGATTTAGATATAGCTCCCATATATAGTTTTGTCCGATTTTTTATAAATGGTGCACCAAAGTCCCTATATACCTTTCGATATTCGCGTAATTTTGCATGGTTTAGTCAATTGGGTCTAAAATGATGTTTGCCAAATTTCGAGATAATCGGGTCAGATTTTCATATATCACCCATATATATTTTCGCCCGATTTAAGGTAAATGGGGCTCCAAAGTCCCTATACATCTTTCGATTTGCACGAAATGTGGCATAGGGTTCTGAATTAGTTCCAGAATGATGTGTGCTAAGTTTCGTGAAAATCGGTTCAGATTTATTCAGAGTTTCGTCCCTACCATAGTTCGTGTGTTAAGTTTCTAGAAAATCGGGTTAGATTTAGATTAATGTTCGTTCAATTTCATGTCTATGTTCCTTCGAGAAGTCGACGTCTGATAAGATACATATATAGAATATACCCAAAGTGGTGAAGCGTATCATATAGTCGGCCCAGTCCGACTTTACTACTTTCCTTACTGGTTTAAACATATTTTTTCAAGGATTTTTAAAAATATGTAAAAGACCACAATAGACGGGATTTTTTTTTAATATTTTATTTTTCAAAAGTACCCAATAGACCTAGCTTTTTTTTAAAAATATTTTTTTAGAAGTCCACAATAGGCGTTTTTTAATACTTTTTTCCAATGTCCACAATAGGCGTGATTTTTGCACACTGTGGTAACGTCGCCAACAACAATATATTTGAATTAAAAATCTATTAAAAAATAACTGATTCAAGCGAAACTGACAGTCTCAACAAATTATAGAGTGGGTTAGACGATGCATGAATTTCAATGAACCACAAAAGGTATCGATATGAAGTTGAGCTACACCGAATAATCTAGACACTCCATTTAACAGAAAAAAAACAAATTTTATTTTCAGTGAAAATAATGGATCCTATAGTTCTGCAATTGTGACGATGTCAGACCCTCAGTAATGTTGGTTCAGAACCCTGTTTGCATATATAGGTTTTGAACTACAGGAGTGGAATCGGGCTGCATATTTCAATATGTTCCTCTTCTATTATATGACTCTTAGGACTCTATTATATTGTCATACTAAAAAGTTACAAAGGATTTGATGAAACCACTTTTCATACAGTCTGTACCCATATATAGGGAATACCTCGAAAAGGTCAATGTGACGCAGAATTATCTTTCGACGATCAGGAAAAAAAATTTTCATATTTTTATTTTAATTATCCCATCTTGCGAACAATAAAATAAATTAATGACAAATGAAATGTATTATTGTATGTAATTTATTATCGACGGCGTCACAATAACAACAATTTATTATAAAAATACAAATATATTTATAGACAAAAATTACACATTGGAATATAAAACAGTTGTGAGAACGGAGACATATTCGAAAACAAATATTTAGCTTGTTCGATACACAAAACAGTGGACCGATATGATTTTTATATTTCGCAAACGAATTTATATTTCTCCATCCTTTACAATTTCCAAATACATTCCACCTTTAACCTGCAATACAAATGATCGGGCCTCGAATTCCGGTTCCACAACCGTCTGGTCACATATCCGAACATAATGATTCTTCAGCAGATGTACCAATCCACATTTCAATTGCAGCATTGCCAATCGGGCGCCAATGCAATTATGAGGTCCAGCACCAAAGGGTAAATAGGTCATGGAATTCAGCAGTGTTACTTTATTTTCAGGTACAAAACGTTCCGGATTGAATTTGTGGGGTTCAGGCCAGTACTAAACAATAGGGATAAGTGAAATTATTTTAATTAAAAATCCTAACAGACGTCGCATTATTAACGGACCAGTAAAATTCGAATTAAATTGGATCCATAAACATTTCATTCTGCAACCGATACTAAATTTTTCATATGATCAGATATAGAAGCTATATCTAAATCTGAACAGATTTCAGGAAACTTAACACACACCATTACGGACCTAATTCATTACGCTGTGCCAAATTTCCTACAAATCGAAAGATATATAGGGACGTTGGTGCACCATTTACATTAAATCGGACGAAAATATATATGGGAGCTATATCTAAATCTGAACCGATTTTCACGAAACTTAACACACATCATTCTAGACCTAATTCATTAAGCTGTGCCAAATTTCGTGCAAATCGAAAGATATATAGGGACCTTGGTGCACCATTTACATGAAATCGGACGAAAATATATATGGGAGCTATATCTAAATCTGAACCGATTTTCGGGAAACTTAAAACACATCATTCTAGACCTAATTCATTACGCTGTGCCTAATTTCGTGAAAATATAGGGACTTTGGTGCACCATTTACCTTAAATCGGACGAAAATATATATGTGAGCTATATCAAAATCTGAACCGATTTTCACGAAACTTAACACACATCATTCTGGACCTAATTCATTACGCTGTGCCAAATTTCCTACAAATCGAAAGGGACTTTGGTGCGCCATTTACCTTAAATCGGACGAAAATATATATGTGGGAGCTATATCAAAATCTGAACCGATTTTCACGAAACTTAACACACATCATTCTAGACCTAATTCATAACGATGTGCCAAATTTCGTGCAAATCGAAAGATATATAGGGACTTTGGTGCACCATTTAAATTAAATCGGACGAAAATATATATGGGAGCTATATCTAAATTTGAACCGATTTTCGGGAAACTTAAAACACATCATTCTAGACCTAATTCATTACGCTGTGCCAAATTTCGTACAAATCGAAAGATATATGGGGGCTTTGGTGGACCATTTACATTAAATCGGACGAAAATATATATGGGAGCTATATTAAAATCTGAACCGATTTTCACGAAACTTAACACACATCATTCTAGGCCTAATTCGTTACGCTGTGCCAAATATGCGAATAGAAAGATATATATGGACCTTGGTGCACCACTTACATTAAATCGGACGAAAATATATATGGGAGCTATATCTAAATCTGAACCGATTTTTCCCAATTTCAATAGGGTTTGTACTTGGGCCAAATAAGTGACCTATGGCAAATTTCATCTCTAAATCTGAACCGATTTTTCCCAATTTCAATAGGGTTTGTACTTAGGCCAAATAAGTGACCTATGGCAAATTTCATCTCTAAATCTGAACCGATTTTTCCCAATTTCAATAGGGTTTGTACTTGGGCCAAATAAGTGACCTATGGCAAATTTCATCCAAATCGGATCATAAATGCGACCTGTACTTTGTTCACAAAAATACATAGACGGACGGACAGACGGACATGTGTAAATCGACTCAGAAAGTGATTCTATGCATATTCTCAAAAATGTTAAAATCCACGCCTTTAAGAGAACCTGAAAAAAATATTTTTTTCAAAAATCTACGCTCCTTAAAAAACCTAAAAAATATTTTCTTAAAAACCTCGCTCTTTAAAGAAACTACATTTTTTTTTAAATCGATGCCTCATTTGGTCCTCGAAAAAAATTAACTCACCTTGGGATCATAGTGCAGACCATAGGTACATATAAACATTGTCATTCCATCGGGTAGAACAAAATCCGAATAGGGTTTCAGTGAGTACCCCTCCCTCGCCCCCATTCCTTTATTATATCTTCTCTGAAGTATTGGTAATACCGGATACAACCTTAAGGTCTCACACACAACCATATCAAGATATTGTAATTTACTGAGATTTTCATAGGACACACTTGTACCCTTCTCCGCCTCAAATGCCTCCTTAATCTCCTTTTTCAGACGCCTTTGAATTTCCGGTTGCTTGGCCAATTCCAAAAGGGCATTTGACATGGAGGTGGCTGTGGTATCAAAACCAGCCGATATCGATATGCCCACCTGGGCCAATAGACAATCCATAAATTGTGACATATCTCGACCACTTTCCTTGGCCTCATCCGTCAGTTTTACAAGGATATCAATTAAATCGTTGCGTGTCTCTCCACTCAATTTCCTCTCCTCAACAGACTGGACAATTGAGGTCCGTAGAAAATGTTCCGTTTCCTCATACAACAATTTTGATCGGAAAAATCTTGCCAGACTTGGTACAAAAAAGGCTATGATGAAATTAAAGGCTCTTCTTCCCGAGAACTCTGTTAATTTTCGAATTATATTTCGCAACTCCTCGGAAGGATTTTCCATGGAATTGGATTGGAATCCCAGTAGCACCGTGGCGATTATATCAATTGTGTAGCTGGCACAAAATTCCTTCATGTCACAGCGCATCACCTTCGATTGCTTCTCCAGATACCGTTCCATATTTAGGGCCACATTTTGTATTAGACCATACATCGTCTTCAATTTGGCACTGGTAAATAGTGGACTCAATTTTGTGCGCATCTCCTTCCACGTCGCATAGGAGGTCATAAACATTGCTTGGCCGCCAATTGGGTCGTAGTCCACATCTTGTTCGGCAAAACGATCGTGGAAACTATCGAAATGCTTCACCAAAATTGATTTAATTATTTGCGGTTCCTTTACCATCAGGGCAGGTTCGTGCAGGCCGTAAATACCCACCAAGGGTTCATTGGCAAATTCTGGATCATCATAGATTGTCTTTAGGTAATAACCAAAATTGGTCTTAAAACGTAATGTATCGACCAGACAGCCACTAAAAATTCGTCCTTCTACGCTGGGTATTGTTTTGTGGCGTTTCCAATATGAAAATTGCCGCCGATACCACATGTAGATGGGTAGAAATATTGTTGCAAGAATTAATAAAAGTTGTAACATTTCTTTTTGACCAAATTATTTGTTCCGATCCGATTTGCGAATATTAGCGTTCTCAGATGCAATTAATGAACTGTGCGGAGAATTTAAAATTTTGATTATAATAAATTTCCTAAATTGAAAGTCATTCTATAAGAGAAGGTATTTTCTTTGTTGTTTATATTAATTGCTGACCGAATGGACCCAACAGACCTCAATGGTACATTAGCAAAATTCTTATCGGTATTTCCAATGGAAGCCTAATGCTTACGTACAGTGTGGTACAAAATTAAGCAACAATGGCAATTTATGAAAAAATATGCCTATTGGAGTTTTCTTTAATAATCCACGCCTTGTGCGGGACCTTGAAAAAATATGCCTATTGGAGTTTTCTTTAATAATCCACGCCTTGTGCGGGACCTTGAAAAAATATGCCTATTGGAGTTTTCTTTAATAATCCACGCCTTGTGCGGGACCTTGAAAAAATATGCCTATTGGAGTTTTCTTTAATAATCCACGCCTTGTGCGGGACCTTGAAAAAATATGCCTATTGGAGTTTTCTTTAATAATCCACGCCTTGTGCGGGACCTTGAAAAAATATGCCTATTGGAGTTTTCTTTAATAATCCACGCCTTGTGCGGGACCTTGAAAAAATATGCCTATTGGAGTTTTCTTTAATAATCCACGCCTTGTGCGGGACCTTGAAAAAATATGTCTATTGGAGTTTTCTTTAATAATCCACGCCTTGTGTGGGACCTTGAAAAATATTCTTTATAAATCCACGCCTTGTGTGGGACCTTAAAAAAATATTCTTTATAAATCCACGCCTTGTGTGGGACCTTGAAAAAATATTCTTTATAAATCCACGCCTTGTGTGGGACCTTAAAAAAATATTCTTTATAAATCCACGCCTTGTGTGGGACCTTGAAAAAATATTCTTTATAAATCCACGCCTTGTGTGGGACCTTGAAAAAATATTCTTTAACAATTCACGCCTTGTGTGGGACCTTGAAAAATATTCTTTATAAATCCACGCCTTGTGTGGGACCTTGAAAAAATATTCTTTATAAAGCCACGCCTTGTGTGGGACCTTTAAAAAATATTCTTTATAAATCCACGCCTTGTGTGGGACCTTGAAAAAATATTCTTTATAAATCCACGCCTTGTGTGGGACCTTGAAAAAATATTCTTTATAAATCCACGCCTTGTTGGATGGACCTTGAAAAAATATTCTTTATAAATCCACGCCTTGTGTGGGGCCTTTAAAAAATATTCTTTATAAATCCACGCCTTGTGTGGGACCTTGAAAAAAATATTCTTTATAAATCCACGCCTTGTGTGGGACCTTGAAAAAATATTCTTTAAAAATCTACGCCTTGTGTGGGACCTTGAAAAAATATTCTTTAACAATCCACGCCTTGTGTAGGACCCTGAAAAAATATTCTTTAACAATCCACGCCTTGTGTGGGACCTTGTAAAAATATTCTTTAACAATCCACGCCTTGTGTGGGACCTTGAAAAAATATTCTTTATAAATCCACGCCTTGTGTGGGACCTTGGAAAATTATTCTTTAAAAATCAACGCCTTGTGTGGGACCTTAAGAAATTATTCCTTTAAAAATCCACGCCTCTTATGACAACGTCTTTTATGGGACCATGAAATGGATATCCCTATATTATATTACCGAATATAGTTTGTTCTCATGTACTGCCATCCTTAGAGGATTATTATTGCAACTTAAAAGTATGTTTGTTAACTATTCGACTTCCCAAGGCGGAACATCCATACATGTCATCTACAATATTGACTCGTACTAAATGCATATACAAATAGTTTTGTATGCGTTATCGGTTTATTTCATGTAAGAAATTTCGAAGGTAAATTGCACTCAAGAAAAAAAAAACTATCCAAGAGGGAATTTTAAGGATATTTTGTCCATATGCAAGGCTATGGACTAAATATCATAAAAAATCTAGGACTTACATAGAGCTTGGAAAATATTTCTAACAAATCGACACCTCGTAAACAGGTCGGAACATAATATGTGACCCCCTCATACATTTTGTGAGTGTATACTCAATCCTCCTCAGTTCCTCCTCAGCTAAGATGCATTGCAATGCACAAATCCAATTTTCTTGATAAATACTCAAACGACAATACTCAGATACCAATAACAGGGCAACTTGAAATCCAATTCAATTTTCAATAACAAATATTAACACGTTTACAAATAACAAATAAGGATTGAGAGTGTGTGTGGTTATGTGCTGAGCTGCCTTATTATCTTAACAATAGTCAACGAAAAGTGCATTTCTTCTTAACCACAAATATCAGCATAAAGGAATTTTTAAGGCAACACATTCACGCTTAAAATAAGATAAAATTGTTGAAGCTTAAAAAATCCACGCCTATTCGAATGTGGGTAGAAACAATATTCTTTAAAAAATCCAAGCCTCTTCTAAGGTGGCTTGAAAAAATATTCTTTAAAAAATCCACGGCTTGAAACAATATGCTTTAAAAAATCCACGCCTCTTCTAAGGTGGCTTGAAACAATATTCCTTAAAAAATCCACGCCTCTTGTAAGGGGCTTGAAAAAATATTCTTTAAAAAAATCCACGCCTCTTCTAAGGTGGCTTGAAAAAATATTCCTTTAAAAAAATCCACGCCTCTTCTAAGGTGGCTTGAAAAAATATTCTTTAAAAAATCCACGGCTTGAAAAAATATGCTTTAAAAAATCCACGCCTCTTCAATGGTGCCTTAAAACAATATTCTTTAAAAAAATCCACGTCTATTCTAGGTGGCTTGAAAAAAATATTCTTTAAAAAATCCACGTCTATTCTAGGTGGCTTGAAAAAAATATTCTTTAAAAAATCCACGTCTATTCTAGGTGGCTTGAAAAAAATATTCTTTAAAAAATCCACGTCTATTCTAGGTGGCTTGAAAAAAATATTCTTTAAAAAATCCACGTCTATTCTAGGTGGCTTGAAAAAAATATTCTTTAAAAAATCCACGTCTATTCTAGGTGGCTTGAAAAAAATATTAATTAAAAAATCCACGCCTCTTCTAAGGTGGCTTGAAAAAATATTCCTTAAATAATCCACGCCTCTTCTAAGGTAGCTTGAAAAAATATTCTTTAAACAATCCACGCCTCTTCTAAGGTGGCTTGAAAAAATATTCTTTAAATATTCCACGCCTCTTCTAAGGTGTCTTAAAAAAATATTCTTTAAAAAATCCACGCCTCTTCTAAGGTGGCTTGAAAAAAATATTCTTTAGAAAATCCACGCCTCTTCTAAGGTGGCTTAAAAAAATATTCGTTAAAAAATCCACGCCTAGCCTCTTCTAAGGTGGTTTGAAAAAATATTCTTTAAAAAGTCCATGCCTCGCCTCTTCTAAGGTGGTTTGAAAAAATATTCTTTAAAAAATCCACGCCTCGCCTCTTCTAAGGTGGTTTGAAAAAATATTCTTTAAAAAATCCACACCTCTTCTAAGGTGTCTTAAAAAATATATTTTTTTAAATAATCTTCGCCTCTTCTTAGGGTTGCTTGAAAAAATATTCTTTAAAAAATCCACGCCTCGCCTCTTCTAAGGTGGTTTGACAAAAATTTTCTTTAATAAATCCACGCCTCTTCTAAGGTGGTTTGACAAAAATTTTCTTTAAAAAATCCACGCCTCTTCTAAGGTGGTTTGACAAAAATTTTCTTTAAAAAATCCACGCCTCTTCTAAGGTGGTTTGACAAACATTTTCTTTAAAAAATCCACGCCTCTTCTAAGGTGGCTTGAAAAAGAATATTTTTAAAAAAATCCACACCTCTTCTAAGGTGTCTTAAAAAATATTTTTTTTAAATAATCTTCGCCTCTTCTTAAGGTTGTTTGAAAAAATATTCTTTAAAAAATCCACGCCTCTTCTAAGGTAGTTTGAAAAAATATTCTTTAAAAAATCCACGCCTCTTCTAAGGTAGTTTGAAAAAATATGCTTTAAAAAATCCACGCCTCTTCTAAGGTAGTTTGAAAAAAATATGCTTTAAAAAATCCACGCCTCTTCTATGGTGGCTTGAAAAAATATTCTTTAAAAAATCCACGCCTCGTCTAAGGTAGTTTGAAAAAAATATTCTTTAAAAAATCCACGCCTCTTCTAAGGTAGTTTGAAAAAATATGCTTTAAAAAATCCACGCCTCTTCTAAGGTAGTTTGAAAAAAATATTCTTTAAAAAATCCACGCCTCTGCTATGGTGGCTTGAAAAAATATTCTTTAAAAAATCCACGCCTCGTCTAAGGTAGTTTGAAAAAAAATATTCTTTAAAAAATCCACGCCTCTTCTAAGGTAGTTTGAAAAATTATTCTTTAAAAAAATCCACGCCTCTTCTAAGGTAGTTTGAAAAAAATATTCTTTAAAAAATCCACGCCTCTTCTAAGGTAGTTTGAAAAAATATTCTTTAAAAAATCCACGCCTCTTCTAAGGTAGTTTGAAAAAAATATTCTTTAAAAAATCCACGCCTCTTCTATGGTGGCTTGAAAAAATATTCTTTAAAAAATCCACACCTCTTCTAAGGTAGTTTGAAAAAAATATTCTTTAAAAAATCCACGCCTCTTCTATGGTGGCTTGAAAAAATATTCTTTAAAAAGTCCACGCCTCTTCGAAGTCTTGAAAAAATATCCCTTCAAAATCCACCCCTTTTGTAGTCCTTGAAAAAACTTTACTTAATTTTTTCACTATTCTCTTTTGTCTATTCCAGAATTGTTAGACCATCTCCATGCCCTAATAATTTGCATATAAAACACCTTAATAATATCTATTAGCATCCTTGGCAACAAACACCTGCCCAGCATACAGGCAACCATTTAACGGCTGATTCAAACCATTTAGAACATCATTGTGCGCTTAACTTCCACTTGCAACACAATATGTTGCCTGCTGCCATAATACGAATTTTCCGATTTGCCTCGAGACAAACAAAAAAATCGTTTATATTGAAATT